AGTTGGGTGAGGCCGCCGCCCATGTCCCCCCACCCGGCGGCCACCGCATTGACGGTCCCAATGATGGGGCCCGCGAACATGACGCTCGTCCAGTAGCTGCACGACACGAACGTGGCAAGGGACACCCCGATCATGAACCGGATGGCCACGTAACCACCCGCGTCCGTCACGAAAGCCGCCGAGAACACGACAGGCGCCGCGAGGAGGTTGACGAAGGCGCAGCCGTAGCGCGGACCCACGAGGTCGCACGCGAAGCCCATGACGAGGCGCGAGAAGATGCTGCCGGAGACGGACGCCACGCCGGCGGCGCCTACGTCTGCACGGGTGAGGTCGAGGTTGTCGCGGATGATGGGGACAAGCGGGGCAGCGGCAAATGTGGAGATGAGGCAGGTGCAGAAGGAGAGCCAGGCGAGGTGGAAGGACCGCATGTGGGGTCCGGCAAAGGAGAGGACCTTCAAGGTCTTGGCCCGGTGCTCCGAGTCCACGGGGAGCTCGAATTTGGGCTCGAGGTCGGAGCTGTGGTGTTGGCTGGGGTTGGTGATGGGGTCTGCCATTTTCTGAACTCGATCTTCTTGTTAGAGATCGAGCCAGGAACTCGAAGTGTGTGTTTTGTGCTAAATTGTTTTGCTTTGGCTCTTTTGGTGATGTTTGTGGTTTGGAAGATGTGGGAGGTATGAGGTATATATATCTATATTATTGTGGAAGAAGGATTCTTGAAATTTTACAAATTCATCGCATATATGATCTGTTTCACATTGTTCTCCTTCCATATCATCACGACTCTCGCATTGTCCATGTATACATTTATTGTGGCTTACAATTTCCATATAATTACTTCGCTAATCTAACTAAAAAACAAAATATGGCACTTTCTTTTCTATTTGATAAAATTCGACCGTAAGTTAAAATGATGCGTAATTTTGCCCAATTTTAAGGAAGTTGGTCCAATACTGCCCACGAAGCACATCTGTCGCACGGTTGTGTTTTGAGATAGACCTTCGTGGTGAACTCATCGATGAGATTGAGCTTAACCAGGCTGGGAAGACCACCGTCCACAAGGTGGTCTATTGGAGAGTGTCGCCTTTTGTGTCCTCTACAACCACGTAGGGCACGATGCGGCCGAGTGCTATATCAAGGGTAACAAGCCCCGACCGTCACTTCCCCCACGCCGCCGCTTGGCTACACCGGGACCCTCATCTGCTCTGGGGGACCCATTAGGGAATGGTAAGGCCCTTGCTCGAGCGGCTGAGACCCTGAAGGGTCAAAAGGACAAGGGTAAGGCTGCGATGGAGACTCCTTACAAGTCGGAAAGGCCCCCAGCCTAACTGTCCCAAGGGAGTTGCTTTGGACATGCCAAAGCCCAGAGCTACGAGGATGTTCCCTCATCAGTCCCTCCAGACGGCCCCTGTGGCAGTTCACTCCTTCTCTCTCCTCGCTTCAGAGACGGAGTATGAACCTGCTTCCACCTCCAATCCTTCTAGGAGACACGTTTAGTTCTCCCTTGGATGACGATGACCTTTTGGATGATGA